GGAGGCCAGAAGAGGGCATCAGATCCCCTGGAACCAGAGTTACAGGCAGTGGTGAACCACCTGGTGTAGGTGCTGGGAACCAAATCTGGGTCCTCTACAGGAGCAGAAAGTATTCTTAATCACTGAGCCATCTCTTCAGACCCCAAAGTGAGTCTGAATCACTTTTGAAAGCTTGTCACCCAAGGTTTCCAAGCAATGTCAAGGCAGGGCCTTCACCTAAAATTGTTCCAACACTGGGTAGAGTACTGTGGTGATTTGAATGATGAACATCCCTCACAGTCTCAGGCATACTTGGTTCCCAGTTGATGTTGCTATTTGAGGAGGCTTAGGTGGTGCGGCCTGGTTATGGAGGACGTGTGTTACTGGGGGTGGGTTTAGAGAGTTTAAAAACTTTCCATTTTGTTGAGCCCCAGCCCCATGGGGTCTCTGTGAGTTGTTGGTCAGCCTACAAGTGCAACTTGTTTTCCAGTCCAAGTGCTTTCTGTTTTCTAGTCCTGGCTTACTGCCCTGGCCTTGACCCTCTGACATCAACATTCAGCAGGAGGAAAACAACGATCTCTTCTACCTGGGGTTTTTCCACTGTGCTGTAAACCTGTATATAAAGCTCCTCCCTCCTACAAGGGGGAGACCTCTTAACACTTGCAATGAAGACACACACATACACATTCTCCTGGCAATAAAGGCAACACATACATTCTTTTAGTACAAACAAGTGGACGTCTGGTCTTTCTTTCCCTGATACCTTGGAGTGGCTTGTGGTGCTGGCGCTGCAATTGGAGGTTCCACAATTGGAGGTTCCACCGAGATCAGAGACACTTGGAAAGACTGGGAAAGATCGGCCAGAAAGAAGACTCAGGGGAGGAGAGACTCGAGAAAGAAAAGAATTAAACAGGTACCTCATCTTCTAACAGTAAAATTGAATGGTCAAATCTCCAGGGTTGGGGCTGGTGAGATGGCTCAGAGGTTAAGAGCACTGACTGCTCTTCCAGAGGTCCTGAGTTCAATTCCCAGCAACCACATGGTGGCTCACAACCATCCATAAAGATAGCTGGTGCCCTCTTCTGATATGTACATGTACATGGAGGCAGGATGTTGTATTCATAATAAATAAAAAAATCTTAAAAAAAATCTCCAGGGTTTATTTGAGAGCTCAGTTGGGGGTGGATTGGATTAAATCTCCAGGCCTTCGCCTGACACCAAGGTCAGGAAAGAAAGGGGAACCTGAGAGATCGCCCTCAGTTGGGGGGGTGGATTGGATTAAATCTCCAGGCCTTCGCCTGACACCAAGGTCAGGAAAGAAAGGGGACCCTGAGAGATCACCCTCAGTTGGAGGGTGGATTAAAAGTGGGTGAATTGAAAATTGGTAACAGTTAATAAAGGAGGTACTGGTATTAAGTAAAAGAAAAGGAAAAGATAAAAGTATGTAGAATGGAAAATACACAGAGAGTCTGGATACTGTGTACAGTTGTGGTGTCTTTAAATTGTTTAATTGCTGAGAAAGGAACAAAAACTACTAAAAGACATTTGATTATTAATGTTGCTAAATTAATCCAACTTACATGTTTTGAAAATGCTTTGATTTCTAAATTTAAATATAAGGACAGGTTACTTGGGAAAAGAATTTCTGCTTTTGTTTCCACAGAACATAAAAAGCTGTGGGTTCCTTCCAGACTAGTATGGTTTGATGAAGCAAGACCACCTGAAGCAGTGGCCCAGGTGATCCAACACCTAAAACAGCTGAGATGATGCAGCCTTACAGACCACAAAAACAAGAATGTCAACAGGTTTCTTGTTTTTGTTTTTGTTTTTGTTTTTGTTTTTTGTCATGATCCCCATGGTATTTCAGCGCCCCTTAACAGCAGGAAGTAGCTTGGAAAGAACGATGCCCACATTCCCAAATATTGTTTATAAATTGGCATTAACGTCCTAGTCACCTGAGATAGGTGCTAATTTATATATAAAGAAGGGGGAGATGTTGGGCCCCACCCCTAAGGGGTCTCTGTGAGTTGCTGGTCAGCCTACAAGTGCAACTTGTTTTCCAGTCCAAGTGCTTTCTGTTTTCTAGTCCTGGCTTACTGCCCTGGCCTTGACCCTCTGACATCAATATTCAGCAGGAGGAAAACAACGATCTCTTCTACCTGGGGCTTTTCCACTGTGCTGTAAACCTGTATATAAAGCTCCTCCCTCCTACAAGGGGGAGACCTCTTAGCACTTGCAATGAAGACACACACACACACATTCTCCTGGCAATAAAGGCAACACATACATTCTTTTAGTACAAACAAATGGACGTCTTGTCTTTCTTTCCCTGATACCTTGGAGTTGCTTGTGGCGCTGGCACCGCAATTGGAGGTTCGACACCATTTCTAGTTCATCCTTGCCACTTTGTGCTTATGGTCCAAGATGTGAGCCCGTAGCTTCCTGACCCTGCCAGCGTTTCTTTGTTCCAGCATCATACTCTATCTCTCTGCAACTGTAAGCTCCAACATACTCTTCTTCTGTAAGTTGTCTAGGTCACGGCGTTTTATCACAGCAGTAGGAAAGTAACTCATACACTGTTGTGTTGAGAGGTAACTCCCCGACCCCAGGCTTGCTTTTCTGCCTCCTCCACTCTTCCTGCACAGTGAGAACACAGCACCTCTGCCACTGTCTGCATTAGGTTTGAAGCCTCCTGCTAATCAAACAGTTGAGGTGGGTGTCCGGTGAGTGAAAGCCTATTTCGAAGGCTAACCAGCTTGAAGAGGGAGGTTCAAGATTCAGTGCTCTCTGGTTCCAAGGAGCATTGCTTCTTCTATGTCTCTCTCTACCAGTTAGGACTCTTGGTTGCAAATATCAGAAACTGCTCTTGGGATGAACGGAGAAGCCGTTGACTCATTCAAGAGCAAAGTGCTAAGTCCCTGGCTTCAGGCGCGAGTGGGGCTAAGTGTTCATATGATGCCGTCAAGTCTCTCTGTGTCTCAGCCTCTGCTTCCTCCTCCGCTGACTTCATCAAGAGAAAGGCTGACTTTGAAGGCACCAGCTATAGCAGTCTATCATCCAAGGATAGTGTGTTAGGGTTCTCTAGAGGAGCAGAAGCAATTGGATATGTATTATAAAGGGGGAATTTATTGCTCTGGCTTACACAATAGGGTAGGGTGGTCCACAAATGGCAATGAGTATGCAGGAGAGACTGAGAAGGCGACTGCTGATCAATCTGAGACACTGGGAACCGTAATGTTGCGGTTCAGTGGTGAGGGCTGGACACTCTGTAGAGACTTGCTGGTGAGTCTGTGATGAAGGCCAAATAACCACAGTCTGATGGCGGCGGACAGTGAAGGTCAAATAACCACAGTCTGATGGCGGCGGACAGCGGCTGCAGCTGCACACATGTTCAGAAGGGGTGTGTGCACACATGTCACCTTCTTCCAACTTGTTTCTATCTAGGCTACCAGACCATTGCATGGCATTGCCCACACCTGGGGGATCTTTCTACCCCAGTCACTGTCTCGCATGGCAATCCTTTCACAGAGAGGCGTGTGGCTTTTAACCAGTCCAGGACATTTCTTAATCTAGTCAACAATCAAGATCATCAATCACCCACAGCTCCAATAAGGGCCATCGCACAGGCTCATGGCCTTGACTCCTGCCATTGAGAAGCAGGTCAGTGTCCTCTTCTTACCTCCAAGCAAGTGTGTGATTCACTAGAAACCACAGAGGTGACAATGACATGGCCTTATTTTCTGAGGCCAGATGAGAAAAGGCAGGACTGCTATTAATTCATCCTTGGGGACTGGCCTGAGCCTGAGGTGGCATATCAGAGGCCTTAGTCCCTAGGCCATCATGAAGTGAGGAAGCCTAGCCCAAAGGAAGAAACCCCACATGGATGTTCAGGATGACAGCCTGAGATGAGGCCCTAGCTGACTGCTCCCAGCCAGTGCCAGACTGAGCGGAGATGCATCCAGGCGATGACTGTCTAGTTATGGAAGCACATGGCTCCCGCTCTCCCTGGATGAGGTACCAGCCATTGAGACCACCTCATTCCACTCCATTTGACCTCCTAACCCACAGCTGGGCCAATGGAAGCCTTCTTCCTTGTTGCTCCTAGGCAGGGAAGTCCCTGAACCAGGCTGGGTCATGTTCCGCCCGAGGGAACTCACTGTGTATGGTAAGCTGGCCCTGAAAGTCACCGCATGCATTTGGGAGCTAGAGAGTGTCTTAGGGTTACCATTGCTGTGATGAAACACCGTGACCAAAAGCAGCCTGGGGGTGGGGTGGGGTCAGTTATCTCACACTTACAGTTCCGTGTAACAGTCCATCACCAAAGCGATGAGTTTGGGAACTCAAACAGGGAAGGAGGGAGTTGACACAGAGGCCATGGAGGGGCGCTGCTTACTGGCTTGCTCCTCAGGGCTTGCTTATCCTGCTTTCTTATAGACCCCAGGACCACTAGCCTAGGGGTGATACTATCCACAATAGGCTGGGGCTTCCCCCATCAATCTCCAATTAATAAAATGCCCTACAGCCAGATTCCATGGGAGGACATTCTCTTAACTGAGGTTCCCTCCTTTTAGGTGACTCTAGCTTGTGTCAAATTGATATAAAACTATCTAGGACAAGAGACTAGAATGACATGAACAGAAATGGCCCAGAGGAGGGTAGGCAGAAGAGAAACTGCTCCAGTGACGCTGTCCTGTGGCAAAAAGTACAGTTTTAGGATGGATGAAACCCTGTCACCACGTCCTCATGTGCAGTGGACCCCGGGAGCTTGGTTCCTTGCACGGCCATCATGACTCTCCCCATGATGCCACCACCCTGACTACGGGTCCCCTGAGCCCATCACTTAGAGAACCGAACCACAGCAAAGGGTAAAGGCTCCAGAGGACCCCAGAAGGAGTGACAGGTGAGGGCCAGAGGCCTCAAGATCTTCCTGAACCCAGTACTCTGAGACGCAAGTGATGGTCAGCCACATGGGACATAGTGACCATCAGGACTGTCATCACCCCCATGGCCTTTGTGCTCACCTGGTCAGTCCTTGTCCGTGTGTGAAGAGCCCCCTGCAGGCCTGGCTTTCAACCACTGTGTAGGGAGGCCGCCTCCCATCGGCACAGGGGCTCTCAAGGGACCCATTCCTCTCCCTAGAACTGCAATTGAAGTTCCCACACTCTAGCTTTGGTGAGGGTGGGTCTAGGACAGCTTTGGGGCTCTGCCAAGGTAGGATGACTCCATGTTCTTCTCAGCAGCAACGACTCTTTCCAGACACTTCAATGTCCAACGACAGCCTGGAGGAGGCATGTCTTCTCTGCCCAGCCAGTGAAGAGAGACAGCACAGCCCCTGCTGGAGCCTCGCCATGAGAGAAAGCCCTGAGCTCACAGCGTTGGCCCTAAGGCCTCGGCTGGTTAAGTGGCTTCCAAGCCTGACAGGCATTGTGATGACACGGAGCTTTGCTCATAATCCGCTCACTGGGCACCCAGGCACGCTCCCATTCTGTCATTTTCTACGGCTGCCTTTGGCAATTACTTTCAGTTTGGTCCAAAGGAAGCAGGCGCGGGAGGACAAAAGCTGGGCGATCCAGTGTCTCAGGCAAATATTCCCGATCGGGAGCTGGTGTGGGGACCAAGGGGGTGGAGCCTGTGTTCCCAGATCCCACTGGGAATATATGATCAAATCGTTCTAACAGTTGCTGAGGCCTGCCATGGGCAAGCCAAGTTCAGGTTGACACAGTCTTCCACTTGGAGAAACAGAGTCCAGCAATGACTCCTCAGGACGTGTTCACCTGTCTGGACAGCACAGGCCAGGACGTGGAATGTAGGGGGAATGCCGGTTGTGGGTGAGATTCTAGAAGTGTGGCCAAGTCTGACTTCATGATGAGAAAAGATCCCAGCAGGTGAAGGAGCCTGGGGAAGGGAGGGCAGGCAGGGAGTGGTTCCGGTGGCAATGGTGCTGTAGGTTCAGGAAACAGGAGACAGTCAATGTGCTCAGCAGAACATTTCAGACTGAGCTAGCGAGGGGGAGCAGATGGCTCATAACATGGACCATAAGGACGGGTAAGTGTCTTCAGAGGCCGAGGCTTCTGCAAGTAAGGCACAGATACGACGTGACTGCACTTTGGGAAGATTACTGTTTATGGTATGGAGGGTGACCCAGAGGATAGCTGAGTCCAGTGTAACGCCTGAGCCAGGAGAGTGACATCAGAGGAGGAAGCAATGGTCCAGGGTCCAGTAGCATTTCAGAGAAGAAGGGATGGAGACCCACCTGGGAGTCTGGCATTGACTTGGATGGATGGAGTCACTAGATACTTTACGGGGACCCAAAGGTTGTTCTTCAGCGTGGCCTCACAGAGCTGAGCTCAGTTGCTCAGGGATACCCATATGGCCTCACAGGGTTGAGCTCAGGAAAGCAGTATTCCAAAATGAGTGAAGCACTGAGATCACAGGAGGCTGGGCTCCCAGGAGAGAGAAGACAGACGTGAGTCAAGAGGCCTTTACATCTAAGACAGACAGAAGGACACCAAGGGCCAAGGAGGCTGGACAAGGCAGCATCAGCAGTGGGCGAGGGGTTTTGTGGAGGGCACTGGCAGCCAGGGGTGGTGGTGTTGGAAAGCTTGGAGGATTCTGCAAGGCGCAGAGAACGGCTGTCCATGGGCTGTGGTCACATTGCATACAGCATGGAGGGTAGGCAGCATTCCTCTCCTGTCCTTGACCTCTAGCTGAGCCTTCTAGGCTGAAGTCAGATGGGTGCTGAATGATAGGAGGAAAGGTAATTGGGAGAACCCCAGGGTCAGGTCTCAGGATGAAAAAGAACACAGAAGGTTCCTGAGGTAGAAAGGGAGGTTGGAGTATAACCCCTCATGGCACCGATGACTTTCCCTTCAACTTGTGCCAAGAGGGCAATGTCATCTCCACATCCAACCCAAGCTCCAAGAGCGTAGAGAGGGGAAGCAAGGGGGAGGGGCAGAGTGTGCTTTGTTTTGCTGGAGAAGCACCTGGAGGGCCGTGTACTCTGGGAGGGGAAGAGGGAAGCCGTGACTTAGGAACACTAAGTTGAGGCCACACAGTGTGGAGCGAACACGGGTCAGTCTGCTTCACGTTGCTGTGTCACATTTGCCATCCCTGCCAGACTTAGACAACCCAAGGGAGGAAGGTGACAAGTGCCTGTGTCCTCTTCCATGCTGCCTCACGGAGGAGCTGACCCTGAGGAAATCGCCTGGCTGGGTTCCTGCTTGGAGTCACCTCTGGGGTCCAACATCTCCTGTGATTTTGATGGGAGCTAGAGAAGAGGGCGTGTTTGAGATATTAGTTTAAGAAGGCCACTTACTTTGTATGCAGTTGGAGTTCATAAATCACTCCAGGCTCTTTGGAGACAATGCACTTGACAGGAGCTCTGTCTAGTCAGCTTCAGACTGAACACAGCTCAAGTTCAAATAGAAGCAAGCCACGTCTTCGTCATGGGCTGCAGACAAATAAGCCATGTCAGCTCCCAGACACTGAAACCCCAGGGGAAGGGAGGCTAGCTCTGTGTAAGCTTTCCATAGCTGTAATAAGCCACTGCAGACTGTCTGGTGTAAATAATAGAAATCTAGTTCCTCGGGCTCTGGTGGGGAAGTCAAGATCCTACTGCGTTGGTTTCTTCCGAGTCTTTCATCTTTGGCTTTGAGGGTCATGTCCTCTCTGCGCCTTTCTCTGCAGTCATCTGGCTGGGGTTCTCTTTCCATACCAGATGGAAATTTCCAATATAGGCAAAGGTGGTTTCCAGGCTCCTGAGCACCAAGGGCCTGGTGAATGAATTAGATCCAGGGGTTATGACCGGGGCCCTGAGAACTAAACACTTGTGAGTCCAAGCTGTAGAGGCCAGAGACTCAGCTGACAGACTTTCTCCTCTGGGTCTAGACATCAGTGGTCCTGCACTCTGTGACCAGAAATGCAGGACTCAGAGCAGTATCTACCGGCTGCTGTTATGATTCTCAGGCCCTGGGTGTTGGGACCTCAGTGAGTGTTGCAGCTTTCAGAGCCTGGGTGTTGGGACCTCATTAGTTCTCTGAACTCTTCTAGTGACAGTTCCTGCAGACTTCTTGTCTTCAGCTTTTTATAGCCTCTTTCTTGGCTTCAGCTGTCTTGGCTGTGTGTCCCATTCCGTTTCTTCTCTGTTCTTTCCCATCCTCCGTCGTCTCTACCACCTCTGTCCCCAGGTGCCCTCTGGAGCTCTCTGGCTGCCCTCTTGCCACCACTGATGCTGGAGCTTGCTGCTGCTAACGGCCGACTCTACTGCTGCAGCTGCTCCTGTCATGACACCACTCATGTTACCAGTGCATCCAGTCTGCCGTGATGAAGACCACAGGTAGGCAAAAGACTGCCCAGGAGTCTTGTAGCCTAATGTTGCAACCCCAGGGAGGCCACACAGAAGGCAACCTCCTGGCTAGCCTGTCAGACAAGTTCACTATGTGTTTGCGTGCATGCGTGTGTGTGTGTGTGTGTGTGTGTGTGTGTGTGTGTGTGTGTGTGCTCGAGTGTGTATGTAATGCGGTCATTGTGACAACTTCCAACGTTGTCAATTGTTAAGATAGACCAAAGTCAAGCATATAGCCTTTTCTGGTCAGTTTTGACGTTCAACTTACCTTACACTAGAATCTCTTGGGAAGAGAGGCATATATGACTTATTCATTTTGCTTTATGTGGGAGTGTTTTACCTGCATGTTTGTTTGTGTACCACGTGTGAGCTTAGTGCCCATGAAGGTCAGAAGAAGTTGTGAGATCTTCTGGAACCGGGGTTGCAGCTGGGGAGCCATCACATGGGTCCTGGGAATGGAACCAGAATCCTTTGCAAGAGCAGTCAGTGCTTCTAATTACCGAGCCATCTCTCCAGCCCTAGGGGAAAAGTCTTTGGAGGAGCCATCTAGGTGAGGTTGGCCTGCAGCTCTGGTCGGTTGTCTTGACTGTCAGACACTGGCAGCTCCCTACAGCTAGTGAGAGGGGAGGCAGATGTGTGATGCTGGCCCTGGACAGCTGGAAAGTGTTAGAGCCAGCTGAGGACCGAGCACATGCAAGCAGCAAGGACTGAGCATGTGCTGTCTGCCCCTGGCTGTGGGAGTGGTCCTTCATGTCCCTGCCTCCCCCCCCCCAGCATGGACTGTGCCTGCTGTTGTAAGTAAAGAACCCTCCTCTGCTGTGTTGCTCCTGGTCCAAGTGCTTTAACACTACGACTGGAATGAAACTTAAGCATACATAGCCCCTCTCTTTCTCAAGGCTCTGACTCAGTCACTAGGGGAGTGGTCTCGCTCTCCAGACTGGCTTGTAGACAGACTGCCAGGTTCGCAGAGTCAGAGATGGCAAACCCTGGAACAGTTACAAACATTCTTCTAAGTTTGCCAGGGCCTTTTCCTAGTACTGGTACATACTGATGGGAACAAGGCCTCCTGTGGCCACAGTCATGTCTTCAATGGTTTGGTTCTTGGACTCTGCAGCTGGAGTGCTGTTCTTTCTAAACAGCTTTTCACCAAAGGCTGCCAGGCCTATGGGAGGGGACCCACCCTGACAGCTTCATTCAGTCACAGAAGAATACCAAAGCGTGCAGCAAATAGACCTAACAAATGGTTGCCTGTCACTCTCAGTAACATTTAACTGTGTTTGGCTCCGTACTAAAAAAGGTCTTGTGGGCTTCCCAGAATCCCACCGAGAGCTGGGTCCCTCTGATCCAGTGGTTCTTAACCTGTGGGTCACAGCACCTTTGGGGGGGCATTAAATTACCCTTTTACAGGGGTCAAATATCAGATATACTCCTGCAATCAGATATTTGTATTACAATTCATAACAGTAGCAAAATTACAGTTTATGAAGTAGCAACAAATATTTTATGTTTAAGGTTACCACATGAGAAACTGTGTTAAAGGGTCGCAGCACCAGGAAGGTTCAGAACCACGGTTCTGATTACTTTTACCTCACATGGCCTCTCTCTGCCTAAATCTGCTCCCCAGTCTCGTCTTGGAAAGATGCTTAGGACCAGGGCCCACTCTAATAATGTCATTGAACTCTGAAAAAGAAGGTGAGTCCGTCTCCAGATACAGTCGCAATCAGGAGTCCTTGGGGCTCTGAAGCTAACCCCGTAACATCTATTTCTCATAAAAACGAGTGGTTTCCTTTTTCTTTGGAAGAATCTCACATATACCAGACTGCTTTGAACTTGCTATATAGCTGAGGATGGCCTTGAACTTCCGACCCTCTTGCATCCACCTCCTTTGTTCTGGGATTACATGCATGCATCACTACACAGCGTACTAAGGAATCCAATCTAGGGCTTTGCGCATTGCTAGCCTTGTACTCTACCACAAAACATCTCCCCCTTTCCCTTTTGGTATTATTGCTTTTTAAAAATATTTATTTTATTTTTAATTATGTGTGTGGCTGTGTGCATGTTTGTGCCTGCCAAAGCCAGAAGGAAAGGCTTCATCCCTTGGAGATGGTGGTACAGGGAAGTCGTGAGCTGCCAACCATGGGTACTGTGAACCAGGGTGGAGTCCCCTAAATGAGCATTAGGCACTCCTAAAGGCTAAACCATCTTTCCAGCCGCCCCTCTGTTTTTTGTTTCCATTCTGCTTTGGTTTGGGGGACAGCGTTTTACTCCTGGAAGTTCACGTGCTGTGCTGGGATGACACACATGAGCCACCACACCTGGCATTTTTCTTTTAATTCAACAATCTTAGTTCACACCATCTCACCTCCCGGCTCTGGAGCCAAGAGCCATCAATCAAGCTGCCAGGCAGAATTTCTTAGACTCAAGACACAGTAGATGAGATGGAGACAGTTACCAGCCCAGTGCCTGCCAGCTTAACCCCGAGAGCCTCCATCAGTGAGATGGCTCTAGCCATGGACTCAGTCTTTTTCAGCCTCTGTAGGTATGTACCATCGGGCTCAGAGACCCAGCCCAGAATCCATCTCACTCAAGTGTAATTGAAAATTGGGCCACTCCTGTTCCAGTGACTCAGCACAAAAGAAGCCATCAATGTCCCATTTAAAATGAACTGCAAAATACAAAAAAGACAAATTCAGCATGTGATGGTTGGGGGGTGGTGGATGGCGAGCACATTTTGCAAACTTAAAAAGCATTTTGGAATGAAATCATCCTTACGATGCTGAAAGCTAGGGAAAGGAAATCTGCCAAATCAGTTATAAAAAAGAAAGCCAAACCCATTATGTATATCTTGAAATTCTTTGGGGATATTTTATCAAAGGATCTGTTCCCAGGGATGTTATTTTGGGGCTGTGTCTGATACCAGCTGACATGCTTCTATTTAGCATTTCACTGACTTTGAAAATCACAGCACCAAATTACTGTCTCTAACTAAAGCAGAGGCTCATCTGCAAGGAGAGGCTGATTAATATATTCAGATCGTTATCGTTGTCTGCTTTTTGCCTCAGATGACGGATGGAAGTGACGCGTGAGTTATTTCTTCTTCTTGGAGAAGGAGGAGAATGGGGCATGCAGTGGCTCTCCTGTGAGCTGGCTTCACCTCTGTCTTCCAGGACGCTGGGCACTGCACAGTGGCTGGCTCGGTGTGGCGGTTGCGAACTTGACTGATCTGCTTTCGGAAAGGCATATGAGGTCTTACGGTCTGCCTTACAGGTGGCAAGGGCGGTCACCCACTGAGCCCACATTGAGGAGCTGGGGGAAGAAGGGTGTCTGTGAAGCTGGAGGTGGGAGGATCCTGAGGCTCTGGCTTCCATGGAAGGAGAGTCACCACTGTGTCTTTAGTTAGGGATCCCATTCTTTTAAAGTTTATTTTTATTTTTTAAATTATGCATATGTCTACATGGTGATATGTGCAAGTGCCTATTGAGTATTAAGCTACACAGGGTAGGGATGTCATATGATATTTGTTTAGGGAGAAGTCACTTACATGGGAAGCCAAGAACCTAAGGTCAACGCTCTGCTGACCTCCAAGATCCTACTGGAACCCCAAATGGGCATGGTCAGCAGTACAGTACCTAAGATCTCTCCCTACAATTCCCCTTTTAGTCTAAAGAAAAGATTTAGTCTTGAAACAAAACTAAATTGTGTCAATATACAAAATGTCTCAAACATATATAAAGCATATGTACATAGAGGATGATAAGGATATTTATGCATCAAACATCATGAATAGCAAGACTTTACACAGTGTGATAAATTGCAATACACAAATTATAAATCACAAGAAGATATAATAATCTACCTATATCCCATCCTAAGCATATCTATCCTATCTCTAAACTTATCTGAAAGAGAAGATGCCCAAGTCTGAACACCTCCTTCCAATCCCAACCCTAAAGAATTGAAAGCTAACACTAAACAGGTATTAATTATCCTGTAATAACAAGAGTAGGGAAAGGGGGTGTAGTATTCTCAGAATTGCTTCCTGCTGAAATGGGACAACGATAACCTCATGGGATCCTGTAGGAAGAAAATGTTAGTGTAGTGAAAGCCTCAAATAGACTAGCTACAACATTTGTACCCAGTCTCTGTTTGATGGGAGATGCTTGATTGAAGCTCTTGATTGAAGTTCTTATCTGAGGCTCTGGCCAGAGTGTGTAGGAGGAAGTCTGATGCCGCCATTAAACATGTGACTTACTAGAGGCGCATACAGATGAGGTAATAAAAGGGCGGTTTACCACACCGCTAACCACACCCACTTTAGGCAGGACTAAAGACGTATACGGCTGGACGTAAAGACGTATACGTACGTAGGCGGAACTACGTCACTAGCCAAGCCCACTTTTGGGCATGGCTAGGGGCGTTACGGGGAAGGCATAAAAGACAGCGCACAGGAAGTCTCGCTCTCTTTTCCTGGAGTTCGGCTTCCGGTCCAGTCGCTAGCTGAGATCTGTAGGTTTGGCACTAGCATCTTGCTTCTGCACAGCCTGTACATTTGGCATCTGTTTTCTGTACTGTCTTACTATATTCTTACTACCACTAAGAGCTTGTCTATAATTCCTAGCTGATACAGGAGGAATGTTAATCTGCGTATTCCATTGCTGTAATAGATCACGACCCCAGAGGTTTATAGCAATATCTGCAACGTATGGCTTTAACCTTCCTCTCTGTCCTTCTGGCCCAATAAAGTCAATCCATCTAACGCTCTGTTTAACTTCAGATAGGGTTCCGATCCCTAAGAATTGAACATTAACCTCTTTTAAAGCCCAGTTTTGTGGCCAGGACTGCTGATTAAGTATAGTGACGTCACTTCCGGTGTCCAGTAATCCGTAAATCACCCTATTATTTACCTTAACCGGAAGTTTGGGTCTATGATATTGTATAGAAGTTTGCCAAAATATATGTTTTGTATCTCCTCCTGATGTAATTGTTTC